ATTCTAAGGTTGCGTCCTGGGCCCCAACGTTCCAGCCGTGGCTCGACTGAAACGGAACAATGAGCGGAGAAATTTTGACGTCCCACTCGAGCCGGTATCGTGGACCGTGTCGCCGAACAAAGGAACTTTACGTCATGTCCGTGGAGATTAAACGCGCTTACTAAATGTCGACGCGTGGGCGGCAGCCGGGGCCCCGGTGCATTGTACAATTGCATAACAATGCGCCGCATGGTCGAACGGGGTGAAGGGATTCGGCGATCCTAGGACAACGTCGTTACCGATTATGCGCCCGATACGCTCAACGAGGAACATACTTGGAACAGAGGAGATAAGGAGACGGTAATAACGCAGGATGCATCAGGTTGACCGTGATTATGGTCGTCAGGGCTGTTTTAACACGGATGATTCGCAGACTGGCTCTATTCGATACTCAAAATGACTAAATTAGGCTTCGCGATGGATGCGCAGGAAATAGGAACTTGAGTTACAAGTGATTAAATGTAGAGGCATAAAATTAATTTCCAAACCTTGACAATGAATTTTAAAATAATAATAATTTTACGATCTCCTGAGAAGATTGATTTTTCAGAAACTCAATTGAGAATGGAATATCCCTAATCTAAGCAAAACGCGGGACGCGTTGTTTGTCCAGCTGAGAGTTAACAAAACAGATGCGTGAATCGCTTCTGTGACGAGAACGCGAAAAAACGAGTCAGGCTATCGGTTGACCCGTAATTTTTCCCCGTTGAAAATCTCGGCAATTAATTACGCGAATCCACGAGAGTTAAACAATCGGCTGCGCAGATTAGCGGTCAAATGTTTGCACGGATTATCGAGGTGTTGATAGTGTTTAAATGAAACGCGTAGGTCGTTGGAATTTTATCGGTGGAAGCTGGAAACTCGAGTGCTGTATCTCTGGAACTTCAATTGAGGTGCTTGGATGATGTTCAAGGTGTTGAACTTGAAGATGTGGAGATACTCAGCTTTGAGCTTCGAGGTTTTGAACTTGAAGGTTTGATGATACTCAGCTTTGAGTTTCGAGGTTTTGAACTTGAAGGTTTGATGATACGCAGCTTTGAGTTTCAAGGTTTTGAACTTGAAAGTTTGGTAATACTTAGCTTTGAGTTTCGAGGTTCTGAACTTGAAGGTTTGGTGATTCTCAGCTTTGAGTTTCGAGGTTTTGAAATTAAAGGTTTGATGATACTCAGCTTTGAGTTTCGAGGTTTTGAACTTGAAGGTTTGGAAATACCTAGCTTTGAGCTTCGAGGTTTTGAACTTGAAGGTTTGATAATACTCAGCTTTGACCTTCGAGGCGTTGAGTTTGAAGATATTATTTTTAAGTACAAGTTGGTACAGACAAATTCACCAACCTGTCTCTCAGATCGTCATGAATCAATCCTAACAATTTGTTAGGTGCATCCTTAATGCAATCTTGATGCAATTAATTACGGCTTCCATTCCACAGCAATCTAATGCGCTAAACGTTTCAAGTGAAGGTTCAGCTCTGAGCGCAACCAAGGAAAATTCCTTTGCACTAGTTCTCACAAATTCGATTACACGGAAAATGAAAAACGGTGTTTTTCCAGCTTAAATACCATCGATAATTGCACCTGTCCGTTAGACACAGTCATCCGTTGCGCGCAATTAACGCGGTTGGGCGTAAACGTTCCATGGAAACCGCCGCAAAGGTTTCTTCCGATTATCGCTTCCGCGGCGGCTTTTCCAATCAACCGCAGTCGATTGTCTCGTTGGCATGACGTCTAATTAGCGTCACGCTACGAGCCACGAGGTCCACGAGCCGCGCATCCCTTTCCGTTGAATTATGTCGAAATCATTATCTGAAAAGTCAGGAAATCGTTCGTTTGTCATTGCTGGAATCCACTTAATGAGTTCGCGTAACACGGCAGTTAGGTCGGCATTCACAGAGGAATCGATTATCGATTGACGGCTGATTTACGACTGTCTCTCGACAAAAGAATCGCACCTACGATGAGAATGAGTCCGTCGAAGGTCGATTCAGTCGATGAGAAACTCCGCAAACTGGGCCCCGCCCTTAGGCTCGTTAACGAAACGGGTCATCCGTTAATAAGTCTGCGCCTTTGCTCGACAAAGTGTGACTTCGTCGCGGAATATGATCAGGGCGAGGCTGTAAGCACTATAGCTATATGAAGTATGAAGCATAAAGTGCGACTGGAATATGTTGGCTGTCGAAGGTCAGGAGGCGATTACCCCCACTTGGAGCTCCTAGATCGATTTGGAACGCCATCTACGTGTTGTGCGCGCATTTTAAAGCACAATATTGCCCCCTTGAACACTTGGCCTCTGTTAAAAATGTTAGGGATCAAAAGGAAGAGCTTTTGGTAGGTTAATAATAGAAAAAGACGTTTTAGTAAGGTAACAGGTATTTATGTAATAAATTTGTACAATTCCAGTTGTTATTAGAATAAAATAGTATTAGAATTGTTTTACTAGTGAGAAAAAAAGGTTAGGTTCACTCATGTCTGAATACCAGCACAGCAAACAATATTAGAAATAAAATGTTGGGCTTCTGGGCTGACCAAGTGTCCAACTATCTAATTACATATCTATGATTTTAACCAACAGTTTGAAGTTTGAACACCACCTGAAAAACAATAAGACTAGAGACTCAGTTTGAGTCACTCGCAGTTGAAAACCAACATCTTTTGCTTGGACTACCGATATCGTCACCAGAAAATGTTCAGATAGATTGACATAAAACTAAAGGCTATCGCAGGCCAGAGTTCTATGCCACTGATTAATAAGCTTTCGCGTCGCTGAAAAGTTTAGAGGATCGTCTATCTAGGGCTAAGGATCGTCGAGAACAAAAGCTCAGACGCGTTGACGTAGAGCTTCTATCTCGTCACGAGCCAAAGATCAAAGTCTGACGTAATGACTGAACAGAAGTCCAAAGCTGTCAACGTAGGATTAGGCAATAATTTAGGATGTCTGACGTAGGACGGCATCTGACTATGATTAGAACACAATTCATGACGAAGCATCTACAATACATTGACTACACTGTGTATAAATAATTATTCAGTAACATGTGTTGCTCAGATGTTTTGAGTTGTTTAACAATTCTAACAAAATTTGTTCTTACTTAAATTCTCAAATTATTTAAATTATCTCATTTCGATGGTCGATCATAGATTTATTTCGCAGAATGTGTACTACTATTTAAATCTAAATATCTAGAGCATATCCATCATTCTCGAATAGCAGTAAGGTTTTCGATACCAAATTAATCTCGCAATTGTGGTTTCCTAAACTTGCTTTGAAAGGAGGACACGACCAGGATGAATCCAGCGATTCAGTGTCTCGCGTTACAAAGGACAATGAATCAAATCAATTGGTCTGTTCCTCGAACGTTTATTTATAGGATTTCGTTTACACGCTCGGCCACTCGAGTCTTTCGAGTGTCGACGAAATGAAATCTAAAAGCGAGCGTCGAATCTATGGACCGCCCAGAGTTGCACACGATAATCAATTCGGTTGATTAATTCCGCTAATCGACTTCGAAAATAATTTACTTATCGAGAGGGAAAACTCATCTAGAAGGGTGGTCATAATAAATCGTCAGGAATTCGATCAATTTGTTTTTAGTGGAGATGATTATTTATTGATTCCAAGGGTCTTACCTGAAATTAATTTTAAGGGAAAATCAACGTAAATTTGGACTTTTTCGTTTATAGGATTTTTATATGGACTTTTAAGAAGAAAAATATTTAGCTATGCATACTGTGCGGAGATGAGAAGTTGGACAGTGGGTCTGATCGGTGACAGAATAATCTCCTTGATTATACTATAGACTTCTATATTATAACAGTATTGTACTATATTGTGCTATTCAATTCTAGTAGATTATACTGTTACCAATCAGACCAACTGTCCAACTTTTCGTCTCCACACAGTACATGTGATTTAAAAATGTAATCACTGTTAAGGAACCCTATTACATTTTCTTAGAGGATATTTATTCCCATAAATTCTCCTCTTTGCATCTCTAAATAAACATGTACGCACAAACATTTCCCTCCCACTACTTAATTCAATTACTTGCAAGCCAGCAACCACGTCACAGAATGAAAGAGAATTCAGCTAGAGACTCTGCATTTAAACAGAAAATAATAACGTGAATGCAGCTTTCATTTGACGCTAAGAAGTCACGGCACGTCGCCATAAGTCACAACCCAATATTACTCGATGGCCAGAGGCGTCACGGATACGTGTGCATAAATCATCGTCGAAGCTCCACGGGCGCACACTTGCAGCGTTGTTGATCAAGGTTGATGAGATATCGGGAAAGAATTTCGATTTTTGTCGCTGGAGAAGGCCGGATAATCAATCCTAAGCATCCAATTGCCCAACATCGTTCACACGGTTCTCACTCGTTTGCTCTTCTTTTCACGGCTTATCTTCCTTGGGCCAGGAAAAATAGATACGCTGTCGATTAATTCAATTCAACGCAGAAGCGTAAGGTTATCGCGCGAAATTTTAAATATGCACCGTCGGATCGCGGGCTCGATAAGACAACGAGCTTACTATCGTCTCTGGAACACGGGACGACGATACATCGCCCTATCAAAGAAAATTCTATATCGAAATTAAAGCGACGATAGGCTTCTCTAAATGAGAGACTAAACTTGACACATTTCGTACCTACGATGTTCCAAACAAAATTGGTTATTTATGAAATTAAAGAAAGTAATTAAATAAGAAATTAAATGCACATGGCACACAGTTACTTTACGTACTGAACAATGTATGAAATAAATTATAATTATTGAATTGTTATTGAGGTATACTCTAACATATATTCTAATATCATTGTTATTCTATTTATCTTCGCTATTAATTTTATTCCATAAATAATAGGAAAATCCATTTATCAAAATCAACCTTAGTCTCGCTGGCTAAACATCAAAACAAATTCTGTATTTAAATTCTCCATTAAGTTTCTGATTTTCTATTTGTTTCAGTGGTCCAAAAAGTGGTGAAATCGTCCTGGGATCGCAACAGGTCCTCCAGCGACGCGTCGTCTGCCTCGAATCCCGATCTGGAGTACGTCAGGCTGATGAAGATCAGCGAGAACCAGTACGAGGATCCGCGTAAGTTGATGTCTCAATTGATAAGCTTGATCGACGCCAGGCTTCTTCGATAATCGGTGGCATTAAATCTCCCGAGAGGCTTAACGCGACGGTATCTCGAACGAGGGATTAAAAACGGGGACAATTTAAACGCTCGCTATCAAGACGCCATTTTACTGAAAATTGCGACAAATTCGCGTTCGATTGATTAAATTGAAATCGCTTCAATCGAAAGTGCGTTCGTTGGAAGACAAAGGTAGACTAAAGGGGAACATCGAGTTTCGTGAATCACGTTACGCTTTTCACGTGTTAAACGCTGGCACATGGCTTGGGGGATAGCGATGGGACTGATTCGGTAGTTGTTCGAATGGTTTCTGAGGAACTATACTATTCCTGAATGGTTTGTGATGATTGGATATTTGAAGAAAATTGTGAGAACTGGATGAATTAAATGGGGAGTATAAAAATATATGTAAATTAATAAAAGGTGTAGAGATTCAGAGGATAATCGAGGGATGGTATTGGATGCAGTACTAACTACGATGATATTGAAACATCAATTGCAATGATGCATTTAAAATTGGTCCAATAATGAAACCTATTTTCCAAGCATAATTTTATTATAGAGAATATAAAGATGTTCTCGGTAAGGTCTTCAGGTGGTGAGACATTGAAAAGAGGATTTAAAAAATCTCAGGTAGCCTGTGGACCCCTAGGTCATCCGAGTATGTTCCCTCGTACACCTGTCTGCCACCCGGAAGCCTCGATCAACAAAATTGCATAATACTTTCCACGAACGGTGCGCGAAATACCGTTAAGATAATCGTCATTAAACAAGTGGCGCTGCAGCGGCATTTTCGCGTGTAATTGAGGAGGTTTGATGGATATCCTCGAGTATCGTTCAAACACGTTAATGAACATTAACGCGTTTATAGATATTGAGTTGCGATAAAAGGTGCGCGGAGATTGTGATAGATTGTCAGATTTTTACTTTGACAATTTGTCCTCTCTCCAACCATAAATGCACTTCATAAATAGTAAAACTTTGCATTGATACAACTTCTGATTGCGTCTTGTGACCCATTTTGCGTGCTTACAAAGAAAAATTTTTCAACAAGTGTTCGTTGCGTGAATCTTTCAAATATAAATTCCAATTAAATGTTGGAGAACATGCACATTGGAGTCACTTTTCCTATCCTCAATTCAAAATATTCTTAATAAATAGTAAAACATCACATTGATAGAACTTCAGATTCTCGTGCCTCATTTTGTGTGCTTCCAAAGGAAAGCTCTCCATTTCTCCTATTTACCCCAGCTTGGAGCTCTTAAAATACAACCTCCTCCTACACCCATCGCAAACATTCTACTTCTTCCATCACACCTAAGCACCTCCAGCCACGTTAATACTCCCTAACGTCAATGTTTGAACGATTCCTGAAGTAGCGATTGCTCCCATCGCTAACTCAAAGCGCGCCAGGCTCGCTCGGCGCGCGTATAGAAGGGACGAAACGACGGCGATTCAAATTAGCGTAATTAGAGACCGCGATGCGTTCGGATGCATTCCGTTGATGGAATGTGTACGCGGGATTCTCGAAGCGTATCGAGTCGGCAGGAGTGCACCACCTTTATCAGGATCACGTTCGCCTCGTTAAGCTCTCGATTGTGCGAGACGGCGGGGCGCTGATAAAAAGCAGAAGACGCGAGCGGGACCAGATATTTATAAAGGACGCGATCGATCTGCGATCTCGATTCTCGGAAGTGTAAATCGTCTGGGCATGAGGCGCTAGGGGGGTCTTGGTACCCTGGAGGAATGTGGATTCAGCGATTCAGGAAGTTTCACCCTTTACCGACAAATAACGATTAAGGTGGGTTTAAGATGGGTCAGGACGTTCATGGGGGGTCGTGAATTTATGTACGAGGTTAAGTACCCTAAATATCTGTGACTTCTGTTAGCTTGGGCGTACTTGATGATTTTTTATTGGACGTGGAGTGTATGAATTTTATTTTATGTTTGAAGGCAGAAATGATTTGTGGGGTATTTATTGGATCTTGAATTATTTAGTTAATGAACAACGTAGAATGCTCAATGTAGAAAGTTATTAGATACCCAAACATCGTGATGTGTTATAGGAAATTTCGTTTTTTGATGCGTTCATTTGGGTAAGATTACTGGTCCTACATTTTCCAAGTCTGAAAAAGAGGAATGGTCAAATTACTGTCACGATCATCTGTCTGATTCAGTAGTACTAGTGATAGTGAGTGTCCTCATGACCTACGTCAACGACTTGGCAATATTTAGCATTCTAAGGGTTGATTGGCCTACCCCAAGACCAGCAGTGTCTTCTGCTACTCGTCCACTCGAGAGTTTTACCCTCGAGACCAGTCCTCTAGTGGACCCAGCATCGAGAGTGAGACGTCTTTCACATGGACACGAACGACCATGCAGGCTCTCTAGAGTAAACCTTTCAAGTAGATGCCTAGCACGAGGATCCCGCATAAAGCCGTGTAACCTGTCCGTCTTGAGGTGCTTCTTTCGCTTCTATTTCTACCTACGTCATCCTCAGCTCTTCGCCGAGTCCCTATCACGTCCTCTATTCTCAAGTATAGACCACAGTCACTCCTAGAATAGCTGACTGTCAGCTATGTCTGTGGTAAGCCTTATAAACTCAATACTAAGATGGTTTATATACCTAGGACTCTAAGACCTTCTCCAAGCCTTCTTAGAAGGGTTTGGCGTCTAAGATCTCACCTAGAACCACCTAGAATCCTCAGCAAACGTTCACCACTAGATCTCTCTTGCAATAACTCCCACAAACACTCACTCTGCCTACCCTATCTCATCACCAGTTTAACACAAAGTCTCTATAGTGCTTCGTATTCTCAAGTATAGACCACAGTCGCCCCTAGGATACCTGATCGCTTTATAAACCCACCTGTGACACGGTTTCTACTGCTCTCAGGACTCTAAGATCCTGCTCAGGTCCTCCTAGGACCGCCAGACTCCTAGGATTTGCCTTAGAACCTCCCAGGGTTCTCAGCAAACGTTCACCACTAGATCTCTCTTCGAATAACTCCCACAAACACTCACTATCCCTGTCTATCTCATCCCCAGCCTTTGCCTAAGTCCCTGTCGTGTCTCTATCTTGAAGTATAGACCACAGTAATTCCCGAAGACATGCCTAGACCTAACCTTAGATAATCTGGGAGCACGCACCTGGTCGTGCGACGAACTGGAACAATGCTCGATGGTTTATCGGTGTCCCAGGTTGGAAAGAATAATGGACACAAATTAATAGTTATTCATGCGAGGAACAGTTAACGAAACAGTAGTCTTCGCTGTCGAACACGTTCGCGGCGAGTCGAGAAACTAGATAGGCAGCCGTCGACGAAGAAAAAGGATCGGCCGGAACGGTAAAAGCCGCATTCGCTGAGAAAACGTCGTCGTCGCACACGACGCGATGCTAAGACACGGGCATTTTGTCACGCACCGGTCACGCATCGAGTCACTTGGCTTGCCAACTTTGCGCGGCTGTCAGCGTTTAACGACAACAAATGAACTAGTTGACGAACGGACGACTGAACTGTAGTTGGCATGAAATGAATTAGCCTTTCGAGCATTCCCAGGAGATGTCTACAATGCTATGTTTGACACTTCATTGGTTCGAGACCCTGGCTAGGTATGCAGAAGTTTTGTAGGGGTTTAAAGTGACTCAGAATTAATGGAACTGACCTTGGTGCCTTGTCTACTTGTGATAAGGTGGTTAAATGTACATGGGGACTGAATAATTAACAATTCAGTTAAGACAACATTCTTATATGAAAGTTAGAAGTGGAATGATAGATTCTGAGAAGTGGTCAGTTCTTTTTGAATCACCTTATAGTTCTAGCAAGAGCAAAATAATATGAATGAAATTGTTTCAGCGTGACTCTAGAAACTATCTTATTCCTACTCTCCTCTAATAAAATATTTCATAAGATAAACGCTTTCATTTGCAGCAGAGAAATATTCGACTGCCCAGAGGCATCACAGCGGCCATTTTCGCCACGCCACAGCGGAAGTGTGGGACCCCCATCCCCAATACGAATTCACAGCCTTCGGAAGAAGATTTCGTTTGCGTCTTGCGCACGACTCCAGCTTCTTCTCGCCTAATATTAAGGTAAACCTAATGAATATCAATTAATCTAACCTAAACGAACGTACTGTCCAATCTGCTTTGAATTTCTCGGGAGGATTCTGTTATTGCACGCGGCTAAGAGTAAAGCTATTTGCTTACAGAATACAATTATAGTGTCGAAAAGTGAGCCCTGAGAAAAACCATTCCTAAACAATTTAAATACACAATTCTTCCCGTTATTATTCGAATAAGAATAGATGCTTCACCTTCGAGTGTATTTCTAGATGTATGCTGTGATTGTTTCCCGTTGTTTGTATAGATAACTCACATAAGCGAGAATACAACTAGGAGGGAACATCCGGGCCATGAACTTGGGTGCTTTTATAGCGGAACTGTGGACGACGATCCGTATTCCGCCGTCACTGTCAGCCTTTGCCACGGAATGGTGAGTGAAACTTAAATCTTCTCGATCATATGAAACATTAAGCTACGGTAGCAGCCATGGTTATTTAAATTACTACTCGTAATTGAGGATCGTCGAATTAATTAAAGCAATTTTATCATTTATGATCTGCATTTTGGTTTGACACACACTTTTGAAATATTAGGTATTTAATAGGTAAACACCTTTGTAGCATTAATTATACACCTCCAAGCGAAAGGGTGCAATAAAAATGTTATTTTTCTCCCCCAAAGTTCGTTAAGATCATAAATGGACGACCAGACGAAGCACGGGGGTATAAAAATATTATTGCAAGCTTTTAGTCTAAAAATACGTTCCTCAACGCATCCTCCTTAGGAGTCATCGTCCAACTAACCTCTCCAGGGCCTCGTCCGCGAGAATTCCTTTTCAGAGTCGCTTCACCAGAAAGAAACTGTTGCGAAAATGCCTTGCGCGTTTACCAGACATACAAAGGCGTGCTGCATTTTAAAAGGAAATTCTTTCATCGAAGGTATTCATACTTTGTCATTCAATGCGTGATTTAATAATTCTGTCTATCACATTGTCACAGCTACCATTACGAATTAGTTAGAATATTTTTGTTTTGCTCTTGGCATTCCTTGAAGCTTCTTGAGCTACCTCTTCGACTTGATTGATGATGTTTCAGCCACTGCAACGTCCTGCACTTCTAGATAAAAGCCACTCTCCCATTCAAAGTGTCCGAATATCTACATACGTTCCAGAAATAATACCTGCTCCATACAAGTTTCTACCACGATGAAATTCTTAATTTGCTTCAATTCTTTTGAAGCGAGCTGTGTCTAAAGAACAGTTCTCCAATTTCTCCAATTTCTTCTGAATGTATCGATGCTACTATCCCTGCCTCTCATGGATAGAGAAATCTATATCAATTGTATCGAGTTGTCCAGAAAGTTCATGCCAATTTTTAAAAAAGATTCAAAGGCACATTTGAATTTTACTATATATTTATTGAATTACGTAAGTACCATTTTGTTCCATAACCTTTTCACCTTTTAACCTTTCAACCATTCCGATACATTCAAACCTGTACCACCTTTCCAGACAAACCAATAATGATCTAGTCGGGATTCGCTACCGAACTCGGCGGAGTTCGTTCGGCGCCACTTCGCCACTCGTTTGCCAAGATAATCCGGAAACTCGTTCTAGCATTACCATGGCAAATGTCCAATCTGGACCGTGTTTCACCTACTAACGTGCTCGCTACGAAAAGCAGCGAGAATGCGGGCGCAAAAACAGCCGCATATTCGCACGCCTCTATGCGCACTCCTGCGCTAGTCTATCACGCGTCATCAGCATTACAACCCGTCGTTGTTGTGAATCGTTTCACGATACTGTTTAGAGTAACACAGGACGTGTTAAATATTAGTGCGTAGGCAACTGTGTTGCGTATAGAGAAGCGATCGGAAGTAGTATGAGGCTGCTGGAGCGTGGGTGACGTGGCTATATGTTTGCAGTTGGTTTGACGTTTGATGGGCGGTTAGGATCCTTTTATGGGCTGCACCAGGTGTCTAAGTAGGTTTGTATGGTGTAAGAGGCTGAATTAGTTGACTTTAGCAGCAGTTGTTGATTTGAGGTTTGGTGGAGGTATTTAAGTTCCATTTATGGATCGCACCAGGTGTTTGAATAGGTTTGTGTGAACCAAGGCGTTAGATATTAGTTGATGTTAGCAGCAGTTGTTGGTTCGAGATTTGATGGAGGTCTCTAGGCTCTTTTTATAGGCTCCACCAGATGTTTGAATATGTATATATGAGGCAAGACGGTCAATAGTGGTCGTTTGTGATTGTATTAAGAGTGCATGGTGCTAAATCTTAATGTCAACACCCTTAAATGTTAAATCATTTCGTTAAACCCCTTCCGTGGTGGTCTTCTGAGCAGCCACCTTGAAAATATATGTCCAAATAACCTAGCAGTACTTAGACGACATGAATCAACCAACTACCCATGAGAAATCATAAATGCATTCTATAAAATTTCATACATTACAAAATATGCTTGTTAATTTCAAGATTATCTTGGCAAAATTTCAGTGCACGTGATCTAAGTCGCAGACTACACAACAAAACGAAACCTTCGCGGAAACGGGAGAGTCAACTTCCCGAAATAATTTCAAAACGTGTAAACATTCGTTCCGCGGAATGCAAATGCTGTTTGCTTGCGAAAGTCGAGCGTGAGGGAGACGGAAAACGTCCAACGTCAATAAATCAGCCCCTGGAGAGTCGCGCTTTCAGAGACTCCGTTACAAGTGTCTGCCAATTAAAGGTACATCCTCACGACGCGATTTTCTGGTCTTCGTCGATTCGTTAGGAGGAAACCAACAGTGATCGTTCGCGATAGCCAACGGTCATCCGTAACGTCTCCTAACGAGGCGGTTAGGTTTGGGTTAGGGCATTCGTTGGGTTAACGCGTCCACTGTCAGTTTTCCCTGATTGAAGAGACTTTTGACGTTTAACACCGAAGCTACCGAGGTCAAACGCGTAGCTATTGTACAAGTATATCTTTGTGATTAGATGGAGGAGGAGCAAACTAATTTATGAGTATAGTTAAGAGGTATGAGACAGAGGTATTGTTGCCGAGTGAGTAATTTTAGAAAGAAGGTTAAACTCTTGAGGGATATCACGGTACTTTATAGAATAAAAGAAAATATAGAATATTAAGTGAGATAATATATACTCTATATTCTTGTTATAGTATATCTTGTATTTTAAATTATATAAATTATAGAAAATATTTGTTGTAAGATATCCAAAATTTAAAATGTATATTTCAAGAGGTTAAAATATGTTAGACTGACTTGGCAGTTTCGGTGTTAATTCATCACGTGGAAAATAGAAACATTCGAAAATTCTTGGTTTCGCATCATGCTTTATACTTACTTCAAACTTTCTCAATTTCAATGGAGTTTATTTTGAATAATTTTGAAATGTGGCAAACTCGAGATTCTGAAATCTGTTAATATTTATGAACCCCTTAAAATATTACTAAAATTCACCTCAAACCAAAAATTCCACAAACTACCCAAGTACCGGGTGGCGAGACACCCAGATGCCCCGGTACGCTATCACGATCTGCCCCCCGGGGCATTCGTCTCACTTTCCAGCTGTAAGCTGCTTAAATAACTCCGAGGCTCGCGGAAAAAGGCGACAGTTTCTCGGAGAAATGTCTGATCACGGTCTCGAGGGACTGGGAATCGTTAAAAAGAAAGTTAAACACTGGGGATCGGGGATTCCAGGTGTCCAACAGCCGCGGGGATAATCTCCATCTTGACTCTTAATTCGACTCGCGAGTCTTTACATTCCCCATAAAACTTCGCCAGAAGTAGACCCACGATTTTACTGCCAGCGATCATTAACAGGCTTGGGTCCCGTCACGTGGTGGACCAGGACATTTGGCTCGAGTCGCGAGCAGGATATTGAATTTACACTTACGAACGCGTTTCTTCAGAGTGGGGGAACATGTTGGCTTAAGCATAACCATCTTAGGTGTAATTGTGAGTTATTAGGATGGAACAGTCTTTTGATATTCAGTATTATAAAAAGGATGCAGTGGTAGCATTTGGCACAGGTTGCAATGTGGAGCAATAATATTTGCACCTGTCTTGCTGAGGAAAGTAGAGAAATTTCATCTCTGTTTTTAAGACAGTAGGTGGTAGCCATTTTGGATATTAGGCTCAGGGAGGTTTAGACTTTGTAACTATTTAAATATCAAGTCAAGAAGACAAATGTTAAATACCCTATGAAGTTTAAATGATCCATAATATGTAATAAACATCAACGTCTCAGCTAAAATTTTCTAGCAATGAATACCATTTGCATTTATTTCAAAATTGAAATTTCAACTACTTGGAACTTCCAAAATAATAAAATTTTGCTCTGAATGACGGTTCTACGCCTAGAAATAGAGAAAAATCCACAGTTCTCGAACCGTCTGCGTTATTCTCTCTGAGAAAAACAAAACACTTCTATCAGAGGTTTCCAATAAATTCCAGTCTGCCAATTTTTTTCTTCGACAGGATGAAACTTTGCCAACTGCAGAAAATGGTTTCTTAAGGGTGAATTGTTGCAGAGCTTGGTGCTACCGGATTTCACGCGCGCGTGCACGCTCCCAAGGTGCACGCTGAAAAAGGTTTACGAGCGTGTTTTTACGAGCATCTCGTATTCTTTCGCACGGCTATTTTCGACGCGACGTCGGGGGCCCCGGGAATTTAATGAATGAAATTTGAACTTCCTCACGAACAGCTCGGGTTCAACGGCACGGTTCCCGAGCGTTTTGTTTAAACCTGCCCCATGTACCCCTAACGAATTCCATATTCGTCCAGAAAACAGAGAAAGAACTTGAATCTCCATTTAAAAAAAAGAATTATAGTGCAGACCTTACTGAGACATAAAGCAGAAGCGTAAGGTGCTCTTAACCCTTTTAAGAATAAATTATTCTGCTTGGTTTGTGATATCTAGTCAGCTGTTGCAATGGTGTATTATATTAGGTGTACCGAAAAGTAACGTCATTTCTTTTTTTACATTAAATTCAGACAAATACATTCATAATACATTTCTATTTTTAATCGATTATGTAATTATCCTCGTTATCAACAAGCTTTTGCCATTTAGTGTGCAAATATTCAATACTAAATGGTTAAAAATCAATGAGATGATGGATGATAAAGAAGTATTGAGATTCACAGAAACGACATTACTTTTCGGTACCTAATAGTATTAGGAATATTCTTATGGTTGCAATTCTTAAACTACTCTTGAATGTTATTTTTTTCAATTATTTTAGTTACCTTCCTAGGACATTTAATTGGAAGTAACAACAGACTACAAATGTTTATAATAACATCTGTTTCGAGTAAATGATATAAATAATAGTCTTGCAAACTACCTCAGAAGAAAGAATTTAATAAGAATTCTTCAAATAGAAGATTTGAAGAATTGCCGCAGGTGGGCAAACACTCACGACCTACA